TTTCATAGTCTACTGGGAAACATCAGCACACAGTAGTGAGTAACTGTTTTTGAAGCATTTAGATACAACACGAGAGGGGCTTGGTCCCTGAAGATACCTTCTCATGCTCTTTGTATATGTGATTTGTGGTATTTGCAACAATATCCCCTCAAGCATGAGGACTATGACATGGACTCTAATTAGAGAAAATATCACCACTAAATGTTGCTTTATCAGTCTCTAGTAAGTTAGGTTGCCAATATTATTATTATTTTTTCACCTGAGTAAACTATAAATCTAGGTATGTATTTAGAGGTCTGGTGCTTTGGAAGAAACTTTTGAGAATACAGAAGCCAAAATTTTTCACGCTATCTTAAAAAAGATGATGTAGCTAAATTGAATCAACCCAGTTAGGGATGCATTCCTTCCCAGAGGAAACTACAAAGTTATGACTCAAGTAGATTTCACTGTCCTCCATAACCAGACATAGGGAATCAGATAAATGTTACTGCACTTATCACTGTGAATTACCAAGCCTTCACGAAATCCAATTACCCATTTAGATAACCAAAGAAATGTACTTTTAGGGCCATCAGCCTGTTTTGTAGAAAAAGTTATTGTGTGTGTAACAAGTAGTTGGTTTTAAATCCCAGCTCCATAACTTACTAAATATGAGAACAACCACTTCAAGTATGTTAATTATTAAGTAATATGTTAATAAATATATATTGGGTTGCCTCTACAGTGCAGTGGTTAAGGGAGTTGGATTCTACATAGCTGACCAAGGTTCCAATCCTGGTCCCAGTGGTTCAAATAACTTACTGGACACATGTGTGTGTTTGCCTGAAATTATGCCTGGAAAGAAGAATGGAAGAAAAAAGGTTCTGGCAGGAGCACACCCCAAAAGGGATCCTTTCTCTCCCTCTGTCTCTCTCTTTCCCCAACTCTCTCTGTGTCTAGAGAGTAAAGACTTGGTGTCTTTTGGTTAAATCTTTCTAGGAAGATTAGGAAAATACCTCTTTTATATTTTGACCTTGCCAATTATTTTACAAAGTGGATATCTCTGTAATTTGAGAACACTATAGTTCTTGTTAACTTTTTTATTGTCAGTTTCACTACACAAGCTGCCTAGTAGCAAACAGTACTTGGTGAACTGTTTCATTTATGTCGTAATTGTTTTTAATAGACAGAGAGTGAAAGTGAAAATGACCTTGGTAATCCCAGAAACAAAACCTGGGAGTGAGCATGGAGGTGGGTATTGAGTACTGGGTAAAGTTTACAGAAAATTTATGAAAATTTTATCAAGGACCTGGATAACCGGAACCTTACACGTTCAGGATTCTGAAGAATACCCTTCTGTATGATACTGGATCTCACTAAGCAACATCTTTATAGAGGGCTGTGGTGTCAAGATTCGGGGCACAAAGTAAGAATCTGGCGTCTTGGGCTGTGATAATGAAGGAATGAAGGACAACAGCCTTGGAAGGAAGACCCTGTAGTAATGTAGTGAATATACTGAAGGATCAGCAGTAATATCATCATTATGAGCTAATTGGAGGGACCGAGTTACTAATGGTGACATTAAGAAAGATGATCTGCATAACAATCTCTTTCTCCTTTCTCTTTTTGATAAACCACCACCTTTAAGGAATGATTTAAGAATAGTTGAAACTAACTAGTCTGGGTCGAAGAGGTCCCGTACTCCACATACTATCTCGTTCTTGTTTCTCAAGGCTGTCTTTAGTTTTGAGAAAACATGGGTTCCAGCTCCTTTCTGAGAACTGCTGAGTTAATAGGGAAGGAAGTATGTGTGATATTCAGCTGAGTTCTGTCCTGTGCTGGATGGGAAGGGCTGGGCCCTTGCTCTGAGCTTCTGCTTTTGTGGGGCTTAGTTTTCTAGAGTCTGCTTTCTTTTTATAAAAAGTCAATATAATTAGTCCGAGCTGCCCCTATTTAATTCCCTTTCTGGAGCAAATGACTGAGAGTTCAGGGAGTGGGTTTCTTTGCCTACACTCCACTCAACATGCTTATTTGGTTTCCTCTCAATCTTTTTTTTATTTTGGAGAATTTTTTTTTTTTTTTTTTTGCTTTCAGGCGCATGCGCTTGCCAGACAGAGAGACAGAGAGACAGAAAGCGAGAAATCACCCCCCCCCCAGGGGGGATGGCCATGCTGCAATCCCTTCTCCTCCATTCTCTTCTCGGGATCTTGGGCACACATGCACACACGCCTGGTGTGAGTTTTAAGCCACCGGGTCCGGGATGTGAACTGCAGTCGACTACATGGGAGTCCAGAGACATAGCCATTATGTTAACTGCTGGTCCCTCTAAATTTTTAACTAGTCAAACTTAAAAAAAAAAAAGAGAGAGAGGTCTTATTTAAATATTGCTCCTGTAGGAATGTTTACACACATTAAAAAATATAGTTGTGAGGACAATCTGAAGTTTCAAGTCCTGCCAGATAACCATGGTAGAGTCAGAGCTTTTCATCTGAGTTGGGAGTTGTTGGGAGCCATGTGGTTGGATGCTGGTACTGTCATTAACTGGAATATTTCATTATTTATTTGATATTGAAACCATGCTTATAATTTTATTTTACACAACTTTCCAGTATTACATCAGTATCTGGCACTTATTCATCCACAAAATGGAAGCTTCTACTTCCTTAAGAAGTAAGAACTCTTTTGCTAATGAGATTATTTTGGAAACTTTTCTAGGGCTATAATATATCTATGCTGCTTGTTTGCAGATGTTGGCAAGTGGTGGTTTGTCTAAAAATATGCAGGAAAAAAAATAAGGGAAAAATGAAAGCTTCTGGCATGCTAATCTTCTGACAGTCTTCCCAACATTTCTCTTACCATTGTAAATTAACTAGTTGATTCATTGAAGCTTTACCATATATCCTCCTGCTACTACTTTGTTTATTCAGTCTATTTGACTTACATAATTCCAGCACTGCAATGTAAATCTAAACACTGCCTTTAGGCTGGAGAGCCCTGGGGTCAAGATTGCCTAGATTCAAAACCCAGCATGGTCATTCTCTAGTTATGTGACTTCTGGTGAGTTTCATCATCTATAAAACGGGGATTAAATTTAGCACTCCCCACATGGGGCCAATGAAATGATTAAGTAATCACAGTCTAAAGCTATTATTTTCTTTAATAATAGAAAATTGAGGGAACTATGAGCATTTACTTGTTGCTAGGCACTACTTGGAATATTTATTTATGATCCCATTAATCCTCTGTGAAAAAGGGATTATCTTATTTTTGGGATGATTAGTTTATGGCTAATCAATTGATCAAAGGTCACACAACGAGTAAATACTTTGAGACCAGGTTTGTTTCTCTGTGAAAAAGGGATTATCTTATTTTTGGGATGATTAGTTTATGGCTAATCAATTGATCAAAGGTCACACGAGTAAATACTTTGAGACCAGCTTTGTTTCTAAAGCACATGCTATTTTCACTTACACGACATAAAGAGAACTTTATCTTTTTTTTTTTTTTCAGGTTATAATGTTTCAGGGCTTGCTGACGATGTCGAAAAACAAAAGGGGGTAAGGGAAAATGAGGAGTGTGCAATGTAATTTAACTACTGCATGTGTCTATTTGCTTAAGCGGAAGGCCTAGGCAGGACGATCTGTGTTGCAGTTCTGTCTGCTCACGAGTTGCTGGGTGAACTTCAGCAAACTACCTCACCTTTCTGTATCTCAATTTAAATATGCCTAAAATTAGGCAGTTAACTTGGTCTGCACGTTCCCTTCTGTTCTGGTAAGTACAGCCTTGCAGTCATCTCAGCTGTTCTCCCTTGGTCCCGGACCAGCCACCCTTTCTGGAACGCTGGTCTTACTCTACTACACACTTTTAACGTACCCACTGGGTCCTAATGAACAGTTCCCCATAACCGCGGTAGGGATGGAGGATTGCATCTTGCGGAGTAAAATGCAAAAGATCTTAAATCCGGCCCTGAGTGTCAGCAGCCAACCGCTGTTAGGACGGGCAGGGCAGAAGGGCAGAACGGGCTTAGGCCGAGCGATCGCTGAGGGAGGATGGGCCGCCGGGCGCGCAGTGGAAGCCCGAGGGGCGGGGCCGGCGCTGACAGCTTGGAGAGGGGCGTGCGGAAGGCGGTGCGGGTGCCTTCGGCTCGTCCCCGCCCCTTGGCTTCC